ATTAATTTTACGTTAACGCATTGGTAACTCGATGTTATAAAACATGCTTTTGTGTATAATTCAATGAGTGGTAGAACAAACATATGAGTCGAAGTTTATCTGTTCCTTCTTGGATTAGAAGCTGATATCTGGGCCCCTCGATGATTTTGTTTTGACCTATGTACCGGGCCCGGTCAGAACTAAGTTGATGTGTTCAATTAAGTTCTTTGTCAAACAAATCGGAAATCGGGAAACAAACTGTTGGACAATAAGTAAGACATTGTTCCATGTATTTGTCCGGCTGATATCTAGAACAGAGGATTATATGATCACTTATCTGAAATGGTGTATCATCATCTTCTCAGTTCCGAGAAACCTTGAAAAGAGCTACGATTGCTGATCGGTTCCTGAAGTCATACTTGCAGTTATAGTTATTAGACTTATCCAAGTGGGAGACTGTTGGATAAGGTGTCTAAGTCCATAACTATTTCTGGTATGTACTTGACCCGACCCGGCATGGTCCATTTGGGTTGCATGGCATCATGCATTTGGATAGACTAAATGAGAGAAATAACACTTGTGGTTTATTAATATATTATAAGTTCTAATATATTAATAGTATTATTTAATTAGTATTGATCAAGAATTAATCTAGGATTAATTAAGTGATCAAAAGATGACTAATTAAATATATGGGTTGATCATGTAAATCATCCATAACTTGTATAGTGGGCTAAAAGGCCCCATGGATAATCAAGTTGGGTTAAACCCATTGAATGCTCCATGGAGGCTCCATGGGAGTTACAAACCCATGGGTCATGGAAATGAAGAGTCATGCCACATTAGGGTTTACATGGTGTAACCCTAGATGTGACACACTATATAAGCAACATGTTCTCCACCAAAATCGGCAAAAATAAGAAACAAGAGGGCTAGAGCCGATTTTGCAAGTGTAAGATTCTCTCAAAGTTTACTCCTTTGCATTTGGTGTTGTGTGAAGCATTTGAGGCATCACACTTGGGGTGCTAGGCTCACAAGGTTTCAAGGATCATAATCAACAACAAGGTAAGTTATTCTATCTTTCATTCAAGTTAAAAATGTTCCCCATGTATGTTAGATAGGAATATAACCTTGGAATTCAACTTTGCATGATTATTAGACAAACATAGATCCAAGGTTATTAGGGTTACATGTACACTTAGGAAGTGTTAGAATGCTCAAAACCCATCGTATGCATGCTGTTTGTTTATGATATTGTTCTGTTATATGGCGTTGGTATTTTGGAGGAACTCACTAAGCCTCAGGCTTACAGTTTTGGATTTTGTTTCTGGTGCTTCGGATGATCGCGTGAAGGTGAAGGCTTGATTGTGCACCTCCTCACATTTTATGTTATGATTTCTGGGATTTCTATGATGATAAACTATTTTGAAAACAAATTTGTAAACAATGAATGGTTTTTGGAATGTTTGAAAAGTTTAAAATTTTTATGAATTTTATGGATGTTACAAGTTGGTATCAGAGCCTTGGTTTGAGTGAATTGGAGAAACACTCATGTGAATCCAGTCTCAAAGTAAGGAAAATATTTTCAGAATGATTTTCAAATGGTTTTCAAAGTACTAAAGGAGGATGCGATGTGTGGGATCAGCCGGAGCTAGTAAGTAGACCCCAAAATACCATACTGTTATTTGATATTGTGATATGTTAAAAGAGCATGCTAGTAATAGGCTAGGGATCTTCAGGAATTTTCATGATAGAATTGCCTGATTATATGATGCATGATAGCCTAGGGTTTTCCTTATATGAAATTGACATAATTACTGTAGTTGCTTAGTGTATGCATCACAGTTGTATATAACTAAGATCTTATAGCTTGAGAAGTTTTGGTTTGGCCTTTTTTCATGTTCTTGTTTGATGAAGGGCTTAGGGTAGGATCGGATATTCGAATGTCTATAGGGTCCGGTGTTATGTATGGCTAGCATACACGAGTGCTGCAGGATTGGTGGAAGTTTCATGGACGAGTTGTGCGGGGGTCAGTCGGCCAGTTGTGAGATGTTTAGCCTTCCTCTAGGAGTGAGGATTGAGAGCTCGCCTATGCTTATGTATATTGCTAGGTTGCTGTGATGATCCTTGAGACAAATATGGGTAGGTGTGGAAGGTAGTATGGACCCGTACTACTGAAAGCACAAGACCCATACACGTAGCAAGGAAGTCATAACCCCCAGGGTTTTGTTGGGAGTTGGTTCCCCGTATTATATGGAATGTTTGACATATTTCTAGTGTATTTTCAGTATGGTGCTTACGAGGCGCTTTGAGACTGATCCGGGTCGGGATCAGGAGTTGGCAGTCTGAGCGGGCCAGCATTGTTGGGGACCATTGGTCAGATGAGTTGGATGCCAGAATTCGGGAGATCCTTCACGATGAGGTTGCTGTCCTATTCCGGGCTCAGTTACCAGAGATGTTTGGGTCTATTAAGACCGCCATGGTGGAGTACGTTGATGAGCGCTATGCAGCCATTGCTGAGACGGCTGCCGTTGCAGCCTCCGCAGCCGTAGCAGTTGCAGGTGGTGGGGCTGGTCGGGACTTTCAGTATCGAGACTTCGATAACACGAAGCCCCTGACTTTTGATGGAGTTCATAACCCGATTATGGCTACGAGGTAGATATCTGATGTGGAGGGTGTTGGATTAGATGTCTAACCCCATAACTATAATTGGTATATACTTGAATTAATAGTAGCAATGTCCTTTTGGGTTGCCTTCAAACCTGGCAATTGAATAGGATAACTGTTAGAGAGAGAAGAATGATTTATTAGTTTATTACTTAGTTAATAAATTAATTTGAAGTCATGATAAATGATTCATTAATGTATTATGGATATAATATTTTAATTAGAAATCATATTGTTTAATTAATATTTAATCAGAAATTAATTTGGAATTAATTTTAGGATTAAAGGAATTAATTGAAACTACAGGGACTAAAGGTGACAATGTTCAATAGTTGAGCATTGAGCATTCTGGAACCTCCCTAAATGAGGGAACGAATTCTAGGGTGTTCCTAGGGTTTCATTGGGATCTAAGTGTGCCTTGGATGCCTTAGGGAGGAAGTTAAGGGATTAGGGTTATCTTGGATACATCTGCCTAATCCAATACCTTCCTAGCACCTATATAAACCCTCTTAGGGTTAAATTTCAGCCAATGCACTCCAAAAAGAACCTGAGGGCCAAAATTCTACTCTACATCTCTCTCTAAAGTATTCCTTAGTTGCTAGGTTTGTTTATGAGCCATTAGAGGCGCGACACTTGTGGCGCTTGCTACCAAAGTTCAAGATCTTCAAGGATTTGATTGTTATTACAATATAACAATCAAGGTATGTATCATAACCCTAATTATATGTTAATTTCGAAAATTACATGTGCCTCCTAGGGTTTCTAGTTTTTTTGTTCAATGCTTGTATGTCTAATAGTGAAAACATAGATCCTAAAATTACGGTTACATGCACACATAGGATTGTTTGCTATGTATAAAACCCATCAGTGGTATCAGAGTGTATGATTTTTGTTTTCAATTAGATTTGCTACAATTGATTGAACTAGACAAAATTAGGGTTTAAGAACCCTGTTTTTCGAAAATCGCTAAGGGTTTTCAAACCCTTTCCTTTGGCCACTTTGGAGTCGAAATCTAGGGTTTTCTAACCCTAGGGTTTTTGTTTTTTAGGCAAGGTTGAAAGCCTTGCCTTCCACTCCAAGCAAAAGTTAGTAGGGTGTTATTTTTGGTAATTATCTTGTTAATTATTTAATTGGATAATTAAAGATATCCCTACCTTAAATTTTGAAATCCATAGATAAATGATTAAATTAAGTTGATCTGTTTAATTTTAATTGGTAATCCTTATTACATTTAATAATTTAATTAATTGTTTAATTTTTGGATAATTATTAAATCAAAGGTTTTATAAATTTTAAAATTTTAAATTAAATGGTTTTAATTTTCGAAAATTTTAATAAAATTAAAAAAACCCTAGTATTTTAAAAGTTTAAAATACATCCTTATACCATATAAAATTAAAAGTTCAATTTGTATATATATATATATATATATATATATATATATATATATATATATATATATATATATTATATATATATATATATATATATATATATATATATATAAGCAAAGGTCAGTTTTACCGTTTGTAGGCCTCATTCACGAAGCTGGTCTATAAGGGGATTTTAAGGAATCGGCCTATAAAATTACCGCCATTGGGTATCCACTCTTACCCACCGCTCTCTTGAATAGTGGAGGGACGTTAGTCGAACATGTTTGATAGGACTCTAAACTCTCATTAAAAGTATAATGAATTATAAAGTAACTAAACCGTTTTCTAAAATCTCATTCTTAGTTACTTTAGGAAAAATGTGAATTTGATGCTAACCCATGAAATTTCACATTGCACCTTATTGGTCGTTACTGGAGCGTGTGTGGTTAACCGGCACACTAATATGGGACTAATATTGTTGGCAATGGGTGTCTCGTAAAGTATCATTGATTAATGGAGCTTATGTGGCCAACCGACACATTAATTAGATGATAAATGATATCGAGAGTACCAAGCTAATTTGCATGGTTATTCACATCCCGTTTGTGATCCTCCACATCCTAGTCACAAATTGAGAGCATAATCGAGATTAAACATGCCATTGAAAACTTCAATTAATCTCAAAAGATCTAGGAATTTCATCTAAAACCTAATTCATTTAAAATTTTGTTTTCGTGGTGGAATTGGTAAATCGTCATTTAACTACCTTCAAATAATTTACAATTGGATTACGGCATCCCTCTTCCGAATTGTGAATTATTGTGTTGGTTCTAAGCCTTGATATTTCATTTGGTGTTATATTAAGGATCTAAATCAACTCACTTGAATTTTCTCCCTTTTGTAGATGTCTAGTTTTGACAACTATGGTCTTCCTCATCCTTTTGGAAAAAGCTTTCCGTCTGAAGATGATCCACGTGTCAATCAAGGTGATAGATCATTCCCTTCTTCGTGCGCTGGTGGAACTGGAATGTAGATGTTTGTTTAATGAGTAATGAAATGAAATCAGATTTCTAAATGATTCTAAACACCGAGAGTAAATATAATCTTGTTTCAACTCAATTATGCTTTCCAATACAGAGAGAGTTTAGACAGAAAAGTGATGCAAAAGTTCTAGTCTATCTTCTGTACCTTCCCTATTTATAGGAAAAGAAAGCATACAAAAAATACAATGGACTCGACAGTTAAGTTTCGAAACAACTATGCCTTTGTAAATAACATTACATCTCATAACGAACTCTATTACAATTTCGACACCTTACAACTAATTTCGACTCCCACAATCTCCCCCTTTGTAAGCAGTGTCGAAATCAAGTTATCCAAACTTGAGCAACCATATGTAATGTTCTTCGAATCTGCGCATACTGGTTCATAACCTTCTTCAATTCCGCCTTCTCTACTTCATTATTCTTCTTACAGTTGTTCATACGTACAATCAAGTTCGTATATTGAGCAGTTGTATATCTTTCGACATTACTTGACTGGAATAAGAACTTCGTTCGTTTTCCCTTCTTGTTCTTCCCCACGAAAACAACTCCAAATGGCTTCATGCATATTTCACCATCAACATACTTCTTCAAATCAGCTTGACTCTTCAACACTGATTGAGAAACTGTGATTTCCTTTCCCATTGATAGTGCTAATTCAACATCAGTCAATGCTAGAAAATCATAGTAATTGTCTATGAAAAGTTTGATATGGCGCAATCCCTGATGTAACACTTCTTTACTTGTTCCTTGGAGTTTCGAAGCATCCATGTCTTTGAGAATAGTTGCAACTTGAATCTGATCATTCAAGTTCATTAGTGGAAAATCAGCAATTCAGAAGTCAAGAGCAACATTGTTTGCCCTCACAACATGGTATTGAAAATTTTGTAGCATGTTTTCGAACAATACATCCTTTGTTATACTTAGCACTGAGACAATCTTCATGAGTGACCAAACTTCTTCTTGTTCTTTTCCCAACACTGCATGAAACCTCAGCTTCATATGGATAAAATCATCTTTATCCTTGAACTGATCAACAATCTTGTACTGGGCTGTGAGAACCATCATTTCATTGACAGGAAAATCAAGTTGACTCATATCAGAATTCACGATAGAGAAACTTTTCCTTGGCTTCTTCTCGAATTCGTACATTTCATTGTAAGTAACCCTCGCTTCGATATTTTCGTAACTATGCAACTTTCTTGGATCTCCTTTGTTCAAAGAAGGAGGATCATTTTGTCGAAGCCTCAAAATACTATGTATTTGATGTTGCTTTTCTATCTCAGCATCTATCTCAACCTTTCTTTCTTCCTTTGATTTCTCAATAACAACCCCCTTTCCTCTGTCTTGATTTGTTGTAGTATGATTGGGTTTCGAAGAACTTCCTTCACCAGTAAATCCAATTACAATGCCTTTGGCAATTGGCCTTGTAGTTGTAACAGTTGCAATCACTGGTTAGCTCTCGAAATTGTTGGTTTCGAAATTATTGATCTTGATATAGGAATATGAGTTGAATACACTTTTCCAACAATATTAACGTCTTCATCTGGTTTCCCAGAAGCACCATCACCTTTACCAACTGGTCTCCTTTCTCCCCCTTGCACCCCTGTGGCAACAGGTGGGGCACTTGTTGGTAACAGACTAATCAATTGAGACAGTAGGGCCAACTCCTTATGAAGTGTAGGTTCAAACAATCGAAACTTTTGGGTTAAGAACTCAGGAGTAATGAGAGAAGATGAACTGGACTTCGAAACCAACACTTTTAATTCTCCTAACAAGGCAATAATGTTCGAAAAACTTTGAACATCATCCATAGACATTTTCTCAACCTTCGGACCAAGCGCTTTATACAACTTCACAAACTTTGTAACTGCATCAGCTATGACATCAACCTTCTGATTCAGAGAAGCATAATCTTGTTGTACAACTGCAATCTCTTTACTCATATCCTCCCTGATTTCTTGAAATTTGAGATTTACATCTTCATGAACTTTCTTGACATCTTGAACAAATAATATGTGTCTTTCCTTTGCAACTGCCTTCAAGTCCTTTAAATCAGAAGCAAAAGTTGACAACCGAGCCTTCACCCTTTTCTCATTGTTACGATCAACATCTTGAATGACATCATAAAGACGAGATTCTTGACGTTTGAGTAACATATCAACCTCCAAACTGGATACTGAATGCTTACCACCATCAACTTGAGTTTGTAAGAGAGAATTAAGTTTTCGATTGAGAATTTTGAAATGTTTCCCTATAAGAAGCATATTATCTGGAATTTCCTCCTCCTCCAGATGAAATTGAATATCAGCAAATGTGCCATCGAATACATTCTCATCATCATCATTTGGGTTTTGGTCTTCTTCGTGAGTAAGAAGTGGATCAGTGGATTGAGATGAAAATAAGGAGGTGATAGGTTGATTGAGAATATTAGCAAATGTCGGTGAATGGGTAACAATGGAAGTAGAAACAAATGGAGGTAATGAAGTGGAAGTATCCATTGTGGAAGTTTCGAAGGTAGAAGTAACAACAAAAGAAGTACCTGGAGCATGAGATGTTTCGATAGTTAACACCGGAGGTAAAGTAACTACAATCTGTTCTGGTGTAGAAACTTTTGTTGAAACAATAGATGTAGAGACAGCAACAGAAGTCTCAACATTCGAAGTAATGGGAGAATTGATCACCGAAGAATCTAGAACTACTTCTTCGTCAGTAGAATCATCACGAATAACCATCTTGTGAATTTTCTTTTGTTTCTTCTTTGAAAGATGTTTGGCCATATCTTCTACCCTTCGTTTCTTTGATGCCGGAGAAACAGGTACATGAACCTCACGAATTATAAGACCTTTTCTTGTAACATGCGACTTATGAACAACAGAAGGAGAAAAACTACCAGATCGTTCAGGAGAAATGCGTGATCTATGAGCTTTCTTTTTAAGCCTCTTGAATACACCCGTTTTTGAAGGAACAATTTCCTTTGAAGGTGCAGCAGTTTCAGGCTCAACATTTTTATCTAACTTCTTCGAAACATTAATCACTACTCCATCCTTATTCTTGGGTGAATGATCAAATTTTTCTTCAGGAAAATCATCAGCTGTCTCTTGTTTTCGAGATTTATTCGAAGAACCTTCATCATGTTTTGCCAACAAAACACCAGTACCATCATTTGTGCTGATAGTGAGTAAATATGCCTCCAACACTCGATTCGAAGGATCGACCTTCTTGAGCATCCCATCAGGAATCCTAGCAACTATAGGAAAGATACTCAAATCATCTTCAATCGTCTTTAGGTAATGATACTTCACGAATTCTGCTTTAGGCTCATCAGCAGGCACCAAAACACCTTCCTTTTCTTAAGCGTATCGAAGAATTAGACTCCAATACCTTGCACATGAAACCCCATCTACTGCATTAGTGTTTTCAACACTCTTTAAAAATTCTTTCCATATCTGAGTCACATAGTCAACAGGTAGATCATAGCAAATGCCTGCGACCATAGCATACACCTCCATTCGTCCTTTTTCTAAACCAACACTTCGACCTGTGAGGCATCGAAGGTAAATTCCAAAAAGAAAATTCCATATACTAGGAAGACCGGACTTCTTGAATTCACTGATCTTCGAGAGAGTAAGTTGATAACCCATCTCATTGAACATGTGTAACACTTGTTCATTAGTAACTTTGTAGAATGGTGGAGAATTAGGGATTTCAAGGATTTTGGCAAACAACTTATTGGTAAGACGAAACTTCTTATCAGTGATCAAATTGAAGGTCACAGTATCCATCGTCTTGCTGTATGAGGCAGTAGACCTAGCAATTGAAAGTTATGACATAGGAACATCAAAAGAACTGAACATTGCAGTCGATAAAACTGAATGTTGTAATGCAACAATGAGCATCTTGAGTTCTTCGGGGTATACAGTAACATCACCATCCACTTGATAATCGGTACTCTGAATCTTCATGATGGGTTGAGAAGATATATCATCAGTAGTGTTGGATTGAGGAGCAGCCATAACTAGGGTTTTTCTTGAAAACGTGAAGAACAGAGAGAAAAGATAGCTCTTAATTGCCTTGAGAACTTTTAGTACACGTAAAAATTGGAATGAAGCCCCAATTTCCCTTTTTATATGTATCCCAAATGTGAATCTGAAACCGTTACCATAAATGTAGTGTACACGTGGCCGTTGAAAGTTGCACCACTAGCCGTTAAAGACGCCATGCCAGATAAAGTGTAGGACACGATATCCGATAAACACACACATTTACCAAACAGTCACATCATACGTCCTTTCGTGAGTACTTGAGGATAAGGAACAAACCTTCGGAATGGAGGTTGGGCTCTTTCTCTTTTGGGTTTGGAAAACGAAGTCATATGCCAGACTTTTGAAATCATCAGCCTGAGTTGGTAATACTCAGAACCTCAAGGATTTCGTGAGTGCTGTGTGCTAATGAAAAAGATAAGAAACAATAAAAAAATTTGGATCTGTGATGGCGAAAATAAAATTTCGACATGAAAGCAGATAAAGCCCGGGCTAAGATTACTTTGTTAATCATCAAGAGAGATGATCAACTACTTATGTGATTTCCTGTGAATTACAATCGAATACTTGATGAGATGTATCGAAGGGCTTCTTTTATTATGGCTTTAAAGGTGGTTCAAAATTTCGATACAATGCATACTCAACATAAGTATGACTAGTTGTAAACGAAACTACCTGTTTGACCAGTGTAGTCAGTGACAAGTAAGCTTTGAAAAATTTATGAAGTAACGAATTTGTGAATGATACTCAGATAGAAATCATATTCTTGAACCAAAAGCAATTTTCAATCTTGTTGGGTAAAAAGTGTCATGGGTTTTGAACATTTGATCAAGATTGTAACAAATAAAGAATATGATTTTGAGTATCGAAATCAAGTACTGAAACAAAAGTTTTGTGAAGTCTGGAACAAAGTTCCCCGTCAATTCCTTAATTTGTTTCGACATTTAGGATTTCACTTTCATCACGGTCTCATGATGTTAGATCATAAACACAGATTTTTAATATGTCTAGATCCTGATTGATTTATACCAAAAATCTCTTGGACATATGTCATTATGTGTGAAAGTGTAAGAACTTTAGGATGAAAAAGATTTGGTAAAAGATTCGTAAGTAGCTCTGCGATGTATTGACCAAGCAGTAAACTCTTAACTCCAATGAAAAGAGTAAGGTAGCTCAAGGACTAATGTGAAGATAGCCTGATTGGGAAGAAATTTTCGTGATGAAAACTTCATTAAGGCTTTGAAAACACACATTGAGTCAAAGGAGGCTTTAGGTCAACATGCTGCAACATGCTTCTAGGGACAACCTAACTAGTGAAAAGTTTTTCGAAAAATATACATGACCCTAGAACTGCAAGCATGAACCATTGATGATCTTTACCAAAAGCTGCATTAAGAAAATAAAGTACAAACACCAAAAACAATAAAATCTTTTTGTAGTTTTTGAATTTTCGAAAATTCAAAGACGAAACAAAAATAAAATCTTTTTGTTCTTTTTGATTTTTTGAAAATTGAAAGACGAAACAAAAATAAAATCTTTTTTGTTCTTTTTGATTTTTGAAAATTGAAAGATGAAACAAAAATGAAATCTTTTTGTTCTTTTTAATTTTTCGAATATTGAAAGACATAACAATTTTGTACTAAACTAACGAAATTATATGATTAAGCGATTTGTACTCAATGTCGAAATCAAAGCGTGTCGAAGCGCTGAACGTGAACAACAACCTCTCAATGGCAAGCTATGACCTCTGAATGAACACTCAGCACCTCTAAATCGACACTTTTTCACCTTTTCCTCTTGTTATTCATTCGAAATAAGACCTGACACAGAATTAGCTTCGATCAATCCCATTCCATTTTTGTATTCTAACAAAAGACTTTTCATTTAAAGGCTTTGTAAAAAATATCAGCAAGCTGATCAGTTGTTTTTACAAAGTGAACTTCGATATTTCCATCTTCCACATGATTTTTGATAAAATGATAACGAAGTGCAATATGTTTTGTTTTCGAATGTCGTACTGGATTGTGACAAATGCGTATAGCACTTTGAGAATCACAATATAATGGTATCCTCTTCATGTTTATTGCATAATCTCGTAATTGACTTTGAATCCAAATTATTTGTGAAGTGCAAGCTGCACCAGCAACATATTCTGCTTCTACTGTGGAAATTGAAACACATGTTTGTTTCTTCGACTGCCAGCTTACAAGCTTCCCATCTAAAACTTGACATCCACCACTTGTACTTTTACGATCAAGACTGCAACCTCCCAGATCAGCATCAGAAAAAGCTTGTATGAAGAAGCCTGTTTTCGAAGGATACCATAATCCTAACGAAATTGTTTCTTTGAGATATCGAAAAATATTTTTCACTGCAGTTAAGTGTGGTTCTCTTGGATTCGATTGATACCTAGCACAATTACAAACAGAAAACATAATATCAGGTCGACTTACCGTAAGGTAAAGTGACGAACCTATCATGCTTCTATTTAAAGTAATATAAACAACAGGTTTATCTAATGAATGATTGAGCCTTGTTCCAACCGCCATTGGTACTCGTAACTTTGTGCTATTCGTCATTCCAAATTTCTCAAGTAGATTCTTTGTGTATTTTTCTTGATTTATAAAAATTCCTTCTCTACTTTGACGAATATTCAATCCCAGAAAGTTGTTTATTTTTCCCATCATACTCATTTCAAACTGACTTTTCATCAAATTTTCGAATTCACTGGATAAAGCAGGGTCAGTAGATCCAAAAATAATATCATCGACATAAATTTGAACAAGCATTAGATGATTCCCAACTTTCTTTCCAAATAATGTGGGATCAACTGACCCTTGTTTAAATTTTGATTGTTTTAAGAAATTGGGAAGTGTTGCATACCAGGATCTTGGTGCTTGTTTTAACCTATAAACTGCTTTATTTAACACATAACAATGATCAGGAAATTGAGAATTGATAAAACCTGGTGGTTGTTCAACAAAACTAGTTTCTTAGAGAACTCCATTAAGAAACGCACACTTCACATCCATTTGATAAACATCAAAATCCTTGTGTGTTGCATAGGCGAAAAAGATTTGAACAGGCTCGAGTCTTGCGACAGGGGAAAGGTTTCTTCATAGTCGATACCTTCTTGTTGCGAATAAACTTTAACTACAAGCCTAGCTTTATTTCGAATAATATTGCCTTCTTTATCAGTTTTATTTTTGAAAATCCATTTTAATCCAATCAAAGATACATCATCTGGTTTCAGAACTAGTCTCCAAACTTTATTTCTTTCAAATTCAGCCAACTCAGATTGCATGGAAACAATCCAATCTGGATCTTCCATTGCAATCTTGACTGTTTTTGGTTCAATTTTCGAAATAAAGACATTAAACATACAAAATTCTTGATGAATGTTGAGTACCTCATTTTTTGCACGAAGTTGAGCTCTTGTTAGAACTCCATCTTGAGGATCACCAAGAACTTGTTCCTTTGGATGATTTCTCGTCCATTTTTCTAATGGTGGATATGTTGGATCAAAATCCAATGGAGCATATTCCAACATATCATCATTCTCCGAACCTGCAACAGAAAAATTATCATTAACATCAAGAAAAGTTTCGTTTGGATTATCATTATTCGACATATTAGGCTCCCCCTCGACATTTTCATTTTCTTGTTGCTCCCCCTCAACATTATTATTCATTCTCCTATTCTCCCCCTCGAATGAATGCTCCCCCTCAACATGAGAATTCGAATGCAAGTACTCTCCCTCCACTTGAGCATTTGGCATGCTTTCGCGAACTTCAGGAGAATGAGATGTCGAATTTACATCAGTAGCTTCATGAGTAAGTTTCGAAAAGTCAGAATGCTTGGTTGATTCATTAATTCGATTATCCTCAGCATTGAGTTATGCATCAGCAGCTCTATCTGGAACACTAAAAATTAAATCAAAATCAAAGTCAGACGAATTAACACTTTCAGATTCATCTTTTGATTCATTAATAATTGCTTGTTGTTCGAAACATTTTTGAACAAGTTTGATATAATAATCATCGAAAGTTAAATTGAATGTCTCTTCAGTTTTTCGTTTTCGTCTATTCAATACTCGATAGGCAACTGAATTATGAGAATATCCCAAGAAAATGCCTTCATCAGCTTTGGACTGAAATTTCGAAAGATTATCCTTGAGATTCATAATA